CAGACATTCACAGGTTCATTTTAAAGTATTAGCAAAACAACAAAGCTAATGCTTTTCACGGAACTTACGTAATTACCCATTATACATTGTGACATAGCCTGGTTCGTTGGTCCATTAGATCGGATTGCTTTCTCACTACAACCGAACCGCTCCAGAGTTCGTTTTCAATCGAGCCGAGACCACCTCGTTCAGGCGATCTCGGACCGATTGTTTTGGCGCGGATCCGGGCGCTATTGCCGTGTTCACATATGCCCAAACGAAACAAGCTACGGGGGGAAACGTGCCAGGTTCCGAAACAATGGGCCAGGTGTGAAAGCACCCTAAGTGTGTCAAATATTTAAGAAGTGTGGCAACACTTTAACTCTTCTTCTGCTTGTCTCTCTCTCTCAGAGCATGTGGTGCACGTATTGCCAGCAGAACAGATGAGCTCCGTGAAGAGGATGTGGGTACAGGAGCCGGTCTATTTGAAGTGAAGAAGATTGGCGATGAGTATTTCACCTTTGTGACAGAGTGTAAAGACCCCAAAGCCTGCACCATTCTCCTCAGAGGAGCCAGCAAGGAGATCTTAGCGGTGAGAAAAGACGGAAAGAGAAAAACCAAAGAAATGAGGAGACTGGAGCCACTGTTAAAAATTCATGACTATGCAATGCTCAGAGGAAGATTAATGAGGATGTTTTTTAATCGTTATAGAGTGTCTCACAAAGGTCTCTATAGTGAGAGCAGCCCTCAGGAAGAGGTGCTTAGATAATTCAACAGGCCATTTGTTGAATATTTGATCAGCTCAGCTAGAGTATCTGGATTTTGTGCAGGTTAATTGACTTGTCGCTGTTTGACTGATCTGTCTCAGGAAGTTGAGCGAAACCTGCAGGATGCCATGCAGGTCTGTCGTAACGTCCTGTTGGACCCGCATCTGTTGCCAGGCGGTGGAGCAGTGGAGATGGAGGTGTCCCATCGGCTGACAGAGCGCTCACGAGCGCTGACCGGTGTAGAGCAGTGGCCATACCGCGCTGTGGCTCAGGCCCTGGAGGTCATCCCACGTACACTCATTCAGAACTGTGGAGCCTCAGCAATACGAGTGCTCACTTCCCTTAGGGTAAGTGGAATCGAAAGCACCATTTTTTTGTATTTTTATTTCAGTATGTTGATGCTACTCTTGAGTAACTCGCATTTCAGTTGGCGTTAAAGCGTTTCTCATCTCTTTTCCAGGCCAAGCACACTCAGGAGGGCAACTCTTCATGGGGTATCAATGGAGAGACAGGAACTCTTGCTGATATGGAGCAGCTGGGGATCTGGGAACCGCTGGCAGTTAAAGCCCAGACATACAAAACTGCAGTTGAGGTAAAATGGCACATACACTGAGAAAAACTGCTTTAGACTCCAGGAGGAAGGTAGAGGTGATTTTTCTTATGACTGTTAATGGATTTTCTCGTTTTTCTCTTAGACGGCCATCCTCTTACTGCGCATTGATGACATCGTTTCTGGTCACAAAAAGAAGGGAGAAGACCAGGCGGGTGGTGCACCGATGGAGGACAAGGAGTAAAGGAAGAGGAAATACAGAGGATGAAGGAAGAAGAGTTCAGAAAGGACAGTAATGCAGCAAATGAAGAGCAATTATGCACAAGCATTTATTTGTGCAAAACTCCATTCTCCAACACAATGTTTTCATTAGAAAGCCATTTGCACTGTTGCTTTGTGTTGTCATTAGGCCAGAAGCTCTTCTTCCATCAATTGTTTTTTTTCCCTCTGGAAATGAAACCACTCTGGATTGGATTAGGATGTTTGTGCTAGTATCTCTGTGCTTCACTTTGCTGGTATTGTTACTTTGTATTTCCTACCGGTGATAAATTTCAATATCAGACCATGTTGTTGAGTTTTTCCTGGGCTGAACCCCTTTAAAATTTAATATAATTTAAGGTACTTTTTTCACAACACCTTGGTAGTTTACTATGATTATGCAATTACATTTTTTCACAAGCTGTAAAATTTTCAAACTCCCCCCAAAAAAGTCACACAGAACACTTCACATTTTACAGTTTAAAAAAATGTCTACATGCGTCCCATTTTCCAAAATGCAACACTTTACAATAAGGTTCAGGTAGTTAACATTAATGCATTAGGTATCATGAACTAACAATGAACAGGTTCATTTTAATGTATTAATGTTAATTCATGATCTATTAATACAAACGTTAATGTATTTAGTATATGCAAAAATGAACATTAAAAGCTAACATAAAACAACAGTGACCAAAACTTTGCTGTAAATCTTGGTTAGTGCAGAGACCCTTATTGTAAAGCAGGGGTGGCGAACGTCGGTCCTGGAGAGCTGCAGCCCTGCAGAGTTTTGCTTCAACCCTAATCAAACACCTGAACAAGCTAATCAAGGTCTGAAGGGTTACTAGAAAGCTACAGGCAGGTGAGTTTTAAATAGGGTTGGAGCTGTACTCTGCAGGGCTGCGACTCTCCAGGACCGGAGTAGTTACCAGCTGTTTTTGTTTAATATTTAGTGCGTATTAACTAGACACCAGGCATTAACAGAAAAACATGCCATTTTGACATGTAAGGATATGCCGTCAAACAGCATTTTACAAAAAAATTCAAATATATTTAAAAAGATGTACGAAAAAACAAAAACAGTACAGTAGAATTGTTTATTTCTAAAGCATCACCCTTAGATGGTCCTCTTGTATTTTTCGTTTCATCATCATGGACAGATAAAGTACGAGACAATACTCGAGTCCAATGGAAGTGTTTAGATTTACTAAACATCAAACAATCTAAGGGAAGACCACCCATAAATTACATGATGAGCAGTTCATCTGCAAGTCTGCACAGGTTTATTGTCATTTGACAATATTTCGGATGCTAAGACGATCAGTGTTGGGGAGTAACTAGTTACATGTAACGGAATTATGTAATTTAATTACAAAATAAAATAATTGTAATCAGTTACAGTTACGAAGAAAAACTTTGTAATTAAATTACAGTTACTTATGAAAATGTTAAGGATTACAAAGGGGGTTACATCTGATTTTTTCACACACACTCCCACATAGAGATTTAATTGAGTTCTTTCATAAATTGAAACACCAACGTTTCAGAAGTTTGTAACATGCTTATCCGATAGGGTTTATGTATATGCTTTATTTTTTTAAGATCAACTGTTTTTTTCTAAGGCATTGTTAGATTCCAGTGTTAAACACACACCAACAAAGTTGGGGGTTTGGTGCCTTGCTCAAGGGTCTCACCTCAGCCGAGGTATTGAAGGTTCACTCCAAAATCAAAATGGCTTGATAACTTGTCCTGACTTGTCCTTTTTAGGTTTTGGGGGGATTAAAAAAAAAGGGAGTGAATTTGTATCATTGTAGGGTGGTTGTGTCCACACACTGCTAAGACAAAATGTAATCAGTTACATTACTTTAATAAAGTAATTGAAAAGTTACACTACTTATTACATTTTAAGTAGGGTAACTTGTAATCTGTAACCTATTACATGTCCAAAGTAACCTTCCCAACACTGAAGACGATTCAGTATTTGCATTTCAGCACCACCAAACAAGTTCCATCTGCAGTTTTGGCTGTGCTGAATGGCACTCAGACCTAATCTGTCATCAAGCATTGAATCTGTCAGCAGTCCTTGCCTAGAGACAAAATACATTCAAATTTACCCAGATTATCAGTCATGGGTTGCAATATCCAGCATTCGATATCATGCCACAGATTTGTGATATCACCCCTGGGCTCGCTCTCCTGTCTCTGGGTCCACTCCACTGTCCAGATCTAACATAAAAACAGAACAATGCATCAAAAATAATAATTTACGAAATGTGTATCAGGCATATAAAAGGATCACTTGACATCACAGGCAGAACCAAGGTCTGCTTCTCTTACCCATGACAGTATCACTGGAGGACAGGTGGCTCTGCTGGTTAATGAGGCTTAAGTTGGAAGGTCCTCCTGGAGCATCTGATACAGCATAACCCGAACCAGTTGGTGGATCCATATCTGTGTCCATGGCTGTTCAGATGGCAGGGGAACAAAAGATTTAATAATAATAACAACAACAATACTATGCAGGCATTGCAATAATTCACAGTGTGCCATGAAATCACACTTGAAAGATCCCCTAATGTCAGATTGACGCTGACCTGCGAACTCTTCTTGCAGTTGGGAATCAGACTGAGGGGGTCTGGAGAAGGTCTCGACGCTGACGGCTCTGTTTATCCCGCAGTGTGACCCGGATGCTCCTGCTTGAGGCGGGGTTTCTAATGTTCTCCATTGGCCTCCAGTGGGCACGAGCCTGCTCTTCGAGTCTGTGCAATGTGGTTGTTAAAACAAATGGTATTACATAACTCGATTTGCAACTTCCGACAGACAGCTGGCACAACCAACAGATAAAATTACTCTAAACAATTCAGTAAAACACAACTTGCACTCAAGGGTCGTTTAGGGCAATTTTAACACTTGACGAGGGGCGGGCAAACGAACACTTAGATAGCGATAAATGTTTTACATACAACCATAACATTATCTCTGCGAGAACATACAGTGAATATTTAATTTCAAATTTCTCAGGAATTATTTTAAAGCTTTGTGGGTTTTAATTGCATTAAATACATTTGTAATAAATCAAGTTATGTCATCGGTCTTACCATTGCACACATTTTTCCTCAGCTTTCGAAACGGACAGTTCTCCCTCATTCGAAACAGACAAGCGCTGTGTTTCCTTCGGCCTTGAGATGTCATTCTGCATCAGAGCCAGACTTATACAGTATATGATACAAAAGTAATATTATTAATACTGCTGGAGGTTTGCCGTCAACTTTCCATGTACTCCAGCTATCAAATGACAGCAGGTAGTAGGAAATACTTTTTTTGCCCTCCGACAAAAAAAACCCAAACATTGACCTTGTTGAGCAGGCTCGAAACGAATACCATCGTATAGAATGAACTGCGTTTTAACATTTAAATTATGCACAAAAACAACCATTCACAAAATATTGTTTTTGTTAAAATTTTTTATGAAAATATAATAATTTCAGCTTAATACATTCATTTGCACTAGGCTACATAGTTTTCTTATATCTCTTTGCAGCTTTGTTTAGTAGCCTATTTCATTTACAAGATCTTCTAATAAGATATCTTATACCTTTACCTTTTTACAAATTTGTTAAAAATATGTCTACACTTTACACAGAGTAAACATCATATTGCCCTTAAATTACCAAAGGGAGTGGTTGTGGAAGATTACAAGTTTGGGCAGGCCTCTAACTTCACACACCACACACAGTATAGTCTTGAATAAGCAAACAATGCATGAAAAAAACAAAAACATACTTGTGGAATAAATATTTGGAATTTTGTTTTCTTCTTGTTGACATTCTTATCTTAAAATAGATGAGTTGAAACCAGTCTATTTGGAGCTCTTTTGAGTGATGATGAGTTCTCCATCTGCTTTGTGCTCGTGTTTGGCTGCAATAAAGGGTAGCTAGCTCATTTTAATTTGTAGTTTAGTGTCTCAAGTTTCACTACACAACTTCTATTTATAAGTTAGTTCAAAAGAAAAAAATTTTGTTCTACCCTCCTCTCTTTCCTTTGACTGGATTTCTGGCAATTTCAACAGGAATTTCCCTTCGAGAGGAAAATGAAATCACAGTTGGATTAAACATTCTCAGACACAAATTTCTTATAGTCTAATTTAAGATGGCTCTAAGCCTAAAGAGATCTGGTCTACATTTGGCAGTAGCAGAGGTGTCAGATGTGGCATGTCTAGCCCCAGAACCGCTGTTTGGTTGGAGGAACAGGGGGTTCTGGGATGTCTGGGGCAAAGATGGAGCCTGCAGATTCAGAGAGGAAGATGAAATAGAGGTTGGCCACCAGCATAACCAGCATTGGCAGAAATGAGAACCCAAAGCCAACACCTCTCAAACTGCTGTCACAAGCTGCTGCGACCCAGTACAGTAATCTGTGATGCACAAAGACACAAATTAAAAGTAATTTTAAAAAGTATTGCTAGTTACACATTAAATCTCTGGGATTCATAATCTAATTTAAACCTATAAATAAGGTTTATTATTTCAGAAAAAAAAAGAAACAAACACACAAACATGGGGGGAAAAATTAAAACAAAACATGAAAAATAAGTAAATTAATCACTAGGGTTGCACCAATATATCGTGCCACAATATATCACAATACAAAAATGCTACAATACGTATCGTGGATAGCGACAATATGCATTGAGTCTAGTTCACCAAAAAAATAAAAGTTACGACATATTTAACTCATTAAATATGGTAAACCTGGAGGCTGAAAATTGTTGTTTTATATGTCTATATCATTTTTTTTTTTAATTTTTTTTTTATTATTTCCATTTTAGTTTGAGTTATTTTGGTATTTTAGCTTCAACTAAATGAAAATGTGGCCTTTTAAATAAATAGAATTAGTTTTTTATATATATATTATTTAGTTCATATTCTATTTTTATGTTATTTATATTCATGTAACGACATTTGTTGTTTTTATGGTTTTAGGTAACTATAATAACCCTGCTTACAAGTAATCATTTTTTTCCCCAGTGATGTTTTTTTTTTTGTAATTTTCCCCAGTAACTTTTTTAGTAAGACTTTACATGGTCTTATCGAATTGAATTGTGTGTTTCTTTATACTCCTATTAATTACTACCAAATTTTGTGGCGCTTTCTAAAGCAGAGATTTGGTCTTGCAATTTTAGGAGGGATTTTGTACCTGCCAAAGGCAAAAACGATGGTGAGAAGAGGAACTAGTTTAAGCAAATCCTGATTCAGGTAGGCAGCCATGACAGCCAGTTGGAGGAAGTAAAGCAGAAAGAGGGAGACAGAGTCCTCCACATAGCGCTGGTGAACTGCCACCTGCTTAACTTCCCTCTCCCCCTCAAACCGTGGCTTCAAGGATCGATACCACAGACGGGAGACACCTAGTACCAACATACCTAAGAGTGGAGGAAAGAACAGAACAACCATTTCCAAACAGCTCCCTTTGATTTAATTATTCCGCACTGAAAGAACACAAAGATACATTGTGTTTATCAATGTCAAGTCATCTCAGAGTCAAAACAGACCCAGGAACTTCCTGCTCACCAAGGACAATAGGTATGACTGCAAAAACAGAGCAGCGCAGTGTGTAGACCAGCCGTAGGGGGGCGCTGTCGAGCAGAGGGGCATCAAAGGGCAGGAAGACGTAGCCGCCCCACACCAACAAGGGGAAGATCAGGGCAGAGGTGAACATGGATGCACCCAGTTTAAGAGCATCACGATTAGATCCACCAAAGCCACCTGAGAAACACAGAGAGACAGGCTTTTCATGCTTTTGTAAAAGTACACTACCATTCAAAGTTTGGGGTTGGTATGATCTTATGCTCAAGAAACATTTATTGTAGAAAACAGTTGTGCTTCTTAATATTTTTGTGGCAATCTGATTTGTTCATTTTTTAATATGCAACTTTCAAACCTGAGGGAGCACAAGTTTGCAAAAAGCCAATTTGGTTTGTGAGATTTTACGTAAAATTGTTAAAAATTAGGGATGGACAGATATACAAATTCTATACTATTATGTGCAAATACATAAAAAAAATTTTTTTTAAAATCAATTATTTTAAAAAGTCTGAATTATAAAAGTGAATTTAGCCATCACAATATCATAAAGAACAATATGAAAAAGGATATTCATTTTGAGTTCATTAAATATTACATTCAATAGTGTTTTCAAGTTTAAGTGAGCAGAAGATAATGACAAATGTAATCTAAATGCAAAAATAGGGGAAAAGAGTATGCACAATAACATAACCCAAATTATTTTTACATTTACATTTATGCATCTGGCAGATGCTTTTATATAAAGTGGCTTACGTTCCGTTCAAGTACATATTTATCAGTTCATGCATTTCCTGGCAACTGATCCCATGATCTTGGTAGCGCCATCCTCTACTGTTTTAGCTACAGGACTGTATATCAGGCTATACCAATAAATTCTCTAATCTCTAATATCAGTTCATAATACGGTGCAAATATATTGTGTATTAAAAGTTACGAAACACATAATGATTTAATCTGATCTTACAGCAACGTGATTTGGGAGTGATGGGCCAGTCATTGTAATACTCTTCTAGTGGTGTTCCATGTGTCCCCAGGAAGGGGCTCCTCTCTTCTTCTTCATCTCTCCAGTGGTCTGCAGGCTCCTGCTGGCTGGTGGAGCGCAGGATGGTGATGCTGGGGCTGAAGACTCGGGCTGCGTTCTCTGGCATGATGTTCACCTCCTCCACCTCTATCTCCGAGCAGGTGCTTTTCACTCTGTTTCTCAGCTCAGTGTCAGAAACACTTTCTTTCCCTGCTTCCATCCTCCTCCATCCCTCACCTGTCTTCTCCTTCTCTCTCAGCCCAAATTCCTCCCTCTCGCTCTCCGTCCGGCTCACTCCACCCCGGAGTGAGATGCAATCTGATTTAATGCTTGTGCTCTCTCTATCCTTGACTGGCAGAATCTGTGGTTCGGGTTTATTCTCAGGCCACTGTAGGGTACTGGGTTCCATATTTGCCGATTTGATCATTTCCTCTTCTTCCTCTTCCTCCTCAGTGCTGTTCACATCCTTTGTTACCTTGTCCACATCTGCTACCCACTGAGGCGTTTGGGGCACCGCTGCTGGCCCAGGAGGGCCCATGGCCACTGTCCCTAGGAATCAAAACAGAAATTCTGGCAATGAAAGATCTGGAGAGGCTGGCAACAGTTTGTCTGAGTAATTTTGTAAGAATTTTACATTTTGTGAAAGGACATCTTCTGGAACCAATATGTAATCAATTAGAAGAAGAAGAAATTATGAAATGTATTCATTATACATCAAAGCACAGCAAGAACTTGATTATTAAATAAACAAATAAAAAGATAATATCACCCTAAAAATTTACTTATAATACTTAGTTAAATGGTTCTATTTTAAGCTAGATTTAATTAATCATTAGTCAAACTAAATTAACGATGACTTCTATAAAACAAACTTCATGGCATTTGTCATGAAAAACAGATAACAATATAAAAAGTACTAACTACTGTAAATGATTCTGACTGTAAAAGAAAATTGATTTCCCCAATCTATCAATACTGTGAATATTTCTATGTAGCACGAAACTACGACATTTAGCCTTAATAGTGTCATAATTCTTCGATTAGCTCGCAGACGAATAACGTAAACTGAAAGCGAACAAACACAACTTGGACAGATTCAGAAAAACTGCGAGTTCAGAAGAACCACATAGTACGACAGAACTTATTCTCAAACTTCTTGTCTACACGACACATTTAATCTTTATTGTGTTCAACGGGCCTTATTTTAGTAATGCGAAGAAAATTCCTTAACCAGGCCTGTCATTTGATATGTCAAAAAGCGAAAACTCTCTGAGCGACACAGGTTGAAGTACATCTTAATTTAACACCTCAAGTAAACAGATAAAACTTTCCAGTGTAACGTTACTCACCCATATTTCAGGACAGGATGTAGTTCTTTCGGTATTGGTTTTCCTCTACTATATTGAAACTCCCGTAGTTTTAAGTTCAGGTGTGTCCAGGTTAAGTTTGTTAAAGGGACAGTCTCTTAAAGGGGAGGTTTGTTTGTCTCTGCCTGTCATTTGCGCTGTAGCTCTATAGGTGCCGCTTATACACTGTTAAACTAATTAAAGCCTACGGAAGTCCTAAGAAGCCATGGATTATTATTATTTTTCGTTCTTGTTTTCTGTTGATCACAACTTCATTTGTGATCTCGACAAAATTATTTTCTTGTGATCATGACTTAATTTTCTCGTGATCTTGACATAATAACGTTTTCTCATTATCACGACTTCTCGTGATCTCGACATAACAAAACATTTTTTCTCATCACGACTTATCTTGTGATCTCGACATAAAATTAGTTTTCTCTTTATCGACTTAAAGGGGTCATATGATGCGATTTCAATTTTTCCTTTCTCTTTGGAGTGTTACAAGCTCTTGGTGCATAAAGAAGATCTGTAAAGTTGCAAAGACTAAAGTCTCAAATCCAAAGAGATATTCTTTATAAAAGTTAAGAGTCAGCCACGCCAAGTTACACAACTGCGCCAACAGGTGGCAGTATAGAACTGAAAATTGATGGGGTGTGTTGTACTGTATCAGTGTTGCCAAGTCTGCGGTTTCCCGCTGAATTGGGCTACTTTATCACTGTTTCCTCGGGTTGTTTTTCATGTCCGCGGGTTGAAGCGACCCCAATAATGTGATTTAGCACCTAAAATGCGGATTTTACCAGGGGAACCCCGCCAAAAAAATCTGTATTTTATCTAGGGATGGGCAATATCTCTTATTTTATTTTCGATCCGATACCGATATTTTCAAGCCCAGTATCTCGATATCGATACCGATACCTCTAAACTAAACTGATCTTTTAAATTATTAAAAGAATATAATCAGTAATTATACTCACTTAATATTAGATTTTAAAGCCATGTTTTTTCAAATTTCATAGGCCTTTTTTGTTTACACTGTCAGAAATTAAATATACTATAATTGTATTTTAGCCCTTTACTGGGTCAGTAACCTCAAAGGTGCAACTATACCCCTAGAAGGGAGCATATTAGTACCATACAAGTATGCATGCTTTAAGGGTAGATAAGTTACAACGCTGCCAACTTTAGCATATTTCTTTCTGACAGATTTATTAACAGCAATTACAGAACATAACACAATCCATTTGAACTTTTAACAACCAGTTTAAATAAGTTAACTTGCACATAAAAATAAAAATACAGTAAAAGCAGCAATATTGTGAAATATAACAATTAAAAATAACTATTTTCTTTTTTTAATATATTTTAAAATGTAATTTAAAATGCATCTGTGATCAAAGCTGAATTTTCAGCATCATTACTCCAGTCTTTAGTGTCACATGATCCTTCAGAAATCATTCTAATATTTTATATATAGTAACAATGTTATGTAGGCTAATGTAATGTAATAATGTGGCAATGGTTTCTTAAGATCTACTTATGCTTCTGATGCTTTTGGGAAACGCAGCCCTATTTGAACAAACACTGTGAGCCATGCGTCAGCAGCGAACGCTGTCTGTGATTGATTTTGGCTCCTGGTTTTCTTGTTATACAAATGTTTTCTAATAAAATCAGTGCTGCTTTGCAGGGTTCGGTACTGATACAGGTTTGATTTGGTTTGAGTCTGATTTGTTTTAAAAAATAATTATGTTGGTTATGTTCATTTTTCATGTTCATATGAAAGAAATGATCTGTCACATAATTCTGTAAATTATACAAGGAATATTCTAACGTCATACATTACAAAAATATTAATTAAAAAAAATAACAGGGCTGACAGGTTAAAGGATATATTACTCAACACAACCTAAAACTAATCTGTGTATACCAACTGAAGTAAACTTAAAATTTCTTGGGGGAAAAAGGAAGTGTTAATATACAATTTTTTAAATGTATTTTGAACATATGAAATCAAGAAAATTTCAGTTTTGCATCTTCACTCGAAATTTTTGAGCTCAGTCTAAAAAATATAATCCTGAAGAACTAAAGTACTTTGTACTGTCAGAATGTGTTAATAGAAGCATGATGGATTATTTTGTTATTTCTAATTTTTTTTGTATGTCTACAGTGGATTTTCTGACATAGTAACAGAAAAATAAGTCTAAGACTCAGTGAACAATCAAATCTTTAAAGTCTGGAGCAAGAATCAGGAAGTTGTGTTTTCTAATAGTACTGATAGCTGTGCATTTTGTGTTTCAGCTCTGGGGCAACTATATAACAAAGACAGTTGAACAGTGGACATCTGCTTGCATTTAGGGACACACTTTTCAGTCTTCATGGGTCTTTGGGTCAGAACATTGCAGTCTGTTTGTCAAGGTTTGCACAATAATATTGATCACATGACCAGCTGTACAACATTACTGATAATTAAATAAATGAAAACGGTTATGAACTGTTTCATAGTCCAAAAGATTATTAATACAAATGTGACCCTGGACCACAAAACCAGTCATAAGGGTCATTTTTTAAAAATTGAGATTTATACATCATCTGAAAGCTGAATAAATAAGCTTTCCATTGATGTATGGTTTGTTAGGATAGTACAATATTTGGCTGAGATACAACTATTTGAAAATCTGGAATCTGAGGGTGCAAAAAAAATCAAAATACTGAGAAAATCGCCTTTAAAGTTGTCCAAATGAAGTTCTTAGCAATGCATATTACTAATCAAAAATTAAGTTTGAATATATTTACAGTTGGACATTTACAAAATATCTTAATGGAACTGAACATGATCTTTACTTAATATCCTAATGATTTCTGGAATAAAAAAAAAAATCAATAATTTTGACCCATACAATGTATTTTTGGCTATTGCTACAAATACACCCCAGTGACTTAAGACTGGTTTTGTGGTCCAGGGTCACAAATATTTTCCAATGAATTGATTTAATGAACTGTTAAAGCTATAATAATAACTATCTATTTCGAGATAAGATGTAAATTTGAACACAACATACCTAACCATGAAACTACCTTTGCTAAATACTGCAAATTGCCTAAACTGCATTGGCAAATTGATAGATTGCATGTTCGCATGAAATGATGAAATGATCTTAAGGTGTTTCTTAGGAGGTTTAAGCTGGTTTAGCTGGTCAGCTAGCTGAAACGTGCACCCAAACCCCTTCAAAACCATGAAAACAGAACCAGCTTCACCACCTTAAGCTTGTTTATACCGTTTTTTCAGAAGATAGTTTTATTAAGTGTTCTTGTAAAGCTATTGTAACACAGTTCGTAGTTCGGGAAGAAGGAGGCGGGAACCGGCGAACATTCAAACATAATTTTAATAAAATAAACACAAAACTTAAAATACAACATGTAGCACAGCCCCTCACGGACGACTGCCGCGCACAAACAAAATCAAAACAAAATAAAGTCCAGGCCTGGTCCTCTCTCGTCCTTCACTGTCGTCACTCCTCCTTTTATCCTTCTGGAGCTCCTCCGTGGGACTCGCGATCGGCGAGTGGTGCAGGTGTCGCGCATTATCATTAACTCCACCGGCCTTGCTCCGTTCCCACGGCTCTCGGCCCCGCCCCCGCCCCACTCGTCACAGCTATATTGATTTCCAGTAAAAAAATAATTCCATCTAGAGAATCAAAGATGGAAGGTAATGGAGATTTACATTTTTAGACATGATTTCTTTGACATTTGTAGAGGTTGTCCTTCATAAGTACTATGTTCATATTGGTACATCACAGCTTTGTTGCAGTAGTTTGTTTGTTGTCATCTACAAGTTAAGGAAAATGTCACAACAATACTATACTTGTACCCAAAGCATAAGGCACATTGGTAATCTTTTGGCATGAATCCGAGAACATGAATGTAAATATAAATTATGATACTTCAAAAACAAATGATGCTGAACAATATAGCACAAGACTGATTCAGTTCTGCACCGTTACAACATTGCAATGAGAATGTAATGTCAATGAAAGCTATGACCGTAAATAGCACAACATGTAGTTTGATGAAGTTGTGCTCCCCTTCTCTACATTACATGTCTCATTACCTTTCCCTCTACAATAGGCCTGATTCATTTTGCACTTCAGTACGTTGTTCTGAGCTCAGAGCCCCTGTGGGATGTGGCGCTGTAAAATGGAGCTGTCACTGCTTTCCTGAGGTTGAGTGAAAGCACATCTGTACACGGTGGCATGAGAAGATGAAGACAGATGACTTTGAGATGTTTTCTTGCTGCACACTCCCTCCTGTGAAAGCTGCTGCCAGCATGTGTGCCTGCTGTTAGCATAATGCTAATGAAGGGGTTAAGGCTGTTTGCATGCTGTTCTGGAGGGTTGATCCGCTGTCTTTCTCAACAGGAGGAGATGTTTTTGGACCAAAAAGAGTCAAGAGTGAAGGGATGAGTGTCCCCTGCCATCTGATCAGGCCTGTTGTTGAATTGGATTATAATGATGTTATATGGAGTTATATGGATGTTATATGTTTGTGGAGTTGGTAACTAGATTTCATGAAAAGTGGAACAGAATTACATCAATCAGTAATAGCAAAAACCTTTCTCATGCACCAGAATTCTGAACTGAAGAATTTCAATTCGCACTGAATTCATGAGTGTGAATTTGAATTTGAATTGGAATGACAAAATTGTAGCTCAGAAACTCAACACAGCAAATGCCTTATGGAAAATGAAGTGTTCTTTTATCCTGGTCCACAAAAGTTAATTATGAAATATGATGCGATATATTAACTAAATACCAATTTCTATAGGTGGCATTTCAAATCTATATATTCATAGTCTATAAACCTTCAAATTTCAAGATTTTTAAAATTACTTATAACATTTTGGATTTCTAGTTAAAAATCTGTTCATTTTAATTCTGCTTTTTACATTCAAATTTGAATTCAATTCTGCATCTAGTTTGCTAGAAGGAGGTGCAATGG